AAGAATAAAATACCAAGAAATAAACCTACCTCAGGGGACAAAAGAACTGCATTCTGAAAACTGTAAGATGCTGAGGAAAAAAATCAAAGATGATACAAACAGATGGAAAGATATACTATATTCTTGGATTGGAAGAATCAATATTGTCAAAATGACTATACTATCCAAGGCAATCTACAGATTCAAGGCAATCGCTACTGAATTACCAATGACATTGTTCACAGAACTAGAAGAGAAAAATCTTAAAACATGTATGGAGACACAAAAGACTCCTAATAGCCAAAGCAATCTTGAGAGAGAAAAATGGAACTGGAAGAATCAGGCTCTGTGACTTCAGACTATACTACAGAGTTACAGTCATCAAAACAGTATGGTACTGGTGCAAAAATAGAAATACAGACAAATGGAACAGGATAGAAAACCAGAAATAAACCCATGCAGCTATGGTCAATTAACTTATGACAAATTGACTACAAAATATTGGAAAGACAATCTCTGCAAGAAATGGTACTGTGGAAATGGGACAGCTACATTTAAAAAGTGAAATTAGATCATTCTTTAACACAATACACAAAAATAAACTCAAAATGGATTAAGAACTTAAATGTGAGACTGGACACTATAAAATATTTAGAGGAAAATATAGGCAGAACATTCTGACATAAATCGCAGCAATATTTTTTTCAATCCATCTCCCAGAATAATGGAAATAAAACCCAAAATAAACAAATGGAACCTACTTAAACTCAAAAGTTTTTGTAGAGCAAAGGAAGACCACAAACAAAGCAAAAAGACAACTCACAGATTGGGAGAAAATGTTTGCAAATGATGTGACTGACAAAGCATTAGCATCTAAAATTTACAAACAGCTCATGATGCATAATAGCATCAAAACAAACAACTCAATCAAAAAATAATCAGAAGACCTAAATAGACATTTCTGCAAAGAAGACATACAGATGGTCAAGAGGCACATGAAAAGATGTTCAACATGTCTAATTTGAGAAATGTAAATCAAAACTACAATAAGATATCACCTCATACCAGTCAGAATGGCCATCATCAAAAAAAAATCCACAAACAATATAATTTGAGAAATGTAAATCAAAACTACAATAAGATATCACCTCACACCAGTCAGAATGGCCATCATAAAAAAAAAATCCACAAACAATAAATGCTAGAGAGTGTGTGGAGAGAAAGGAACCTTGCTACACTGTTGGTGGGAATGTAAATTGGGACAGTCATCATGAAGAACAGTATGGAATTTTTTAGTTTTGTTTTTTCCTTAAAAAACTAAAAATAGAGCTACCATATGACCCTGAAATCCCACTCCTGGGCATATATCCAGAGAAAAACATGATCCAAAAAGATACATGCACCTCACTGTTCATTGCAGTGCTGTTTACAATAGCCAAGACATGGAAGCAACCTAAACGTCCATCAACAGAGGCATGAATTAAGAAGATCTGATATATACATATAATGGAATATCACTTAACCATTAATAAGAATGAAATAATGCTATTTATGGCAACATGGATGGACCTAGAGATCGTCATACTGAGTGAAGTGAGTCAAATAGAGAAGGAGAAGTATCATATGACATCTCTTATATGTGGAATCTAAAAAGAAATGATACAAATGAACTTACTTACAAAACAGGAAGAGAACCACAGACTCGGAAAACGAACTTACAGCTGCCAGGGGGAGGGATGGGGGAGGGGATGGTTGGAGAGTTTTGGATGGACATAAGTACACTGCTATGTTTAAAATGGATAGCTGACAAGAACCTACTGTGTAATACATTGAACTCTGCTCAATGTTGTGTAGTGACCCAGATGGGAGGTGAGTTTGGGGAAGAATGGCTACATGTGTATGTATGACTGGGTCCTTTTGCTATTCATTTGAAATTGTCACAACATTATTTGTTAATGGACTATACCCCAATACAAAAATAAAAAGTTTTTTTTTTCTAAAAAGCAAGAAAAAAAAATATTGTCAAAATGACTATACTACCCAAGGCAATCTACAGATTCAATGCAATCCCAATTAAATCACCAATGGCAATTTTCACAGAACTAGAACAAAAAGATTTAAAATTTGTATGGAAAACACAAAAGACACCAGATAGCCAAAGCAATCTTGAAAAAGAAAAATGGAGTTGGCGGGATCAGGCTCAGACTTCAGACTATATTATAAAGCTATAGTCATTAAAACAATATGGTGCTGGCACAAAAACAGAAATAAAGATCAGTAGAACAGGATAGAATGTCCAGAGATAAACCCATGTACCTACAGTCACCTAATCTAAGAAAAAGGAGGCAAAAATGTACAATGGATAAAAGAGAGTCTCTTCAATAAATGTTGCTTGGAAAACTGGACAGCTACATGTAAAAGAATGAAAGTAGAATAGTCCCTAACACCATACACAAAAATAAACTCAAAATGGATTAAAGACCTAAATGTAATGTTGGATACTATAAAACTCTTAGGGGAAAACATAGGCAGAACACTTTCTGTCATAAATTGCAGTAATATCTTTTTCAATCCACCTCCTAATGAAAATAAGAACAAAAATAAACAAATGGGACCTAATTAAACATAAAAGCTTTTGAGCAGCAAAGGAAACCATAAGCAAAATGAAAAGACAATCCTCAAAATGGGAGAAAATACTTGCAGATGAAGCAACGAACAAGTGATTAATCTCAAAAATACACAAACAGCTCATGGCCCAATATTAAAAAAAAACAATCAAATAAAAAAAATGGGTGGAAGAGCTAAACAGACATTTCTCCAATAGCACTAATTATTACAGAAATGAAATCTAAACTACAATGAGGTATCACCTCATACTGGTTAGAATTGCCATTATCAAAAAATCTATAAACAATAAATACTGGAGAGGGTGTGGAGAAAAGGGAACCCACTACTCTGTTGGTTGGAATGTAAATTAGTGTAGCCACTGTGGAAAACAGTATGGAGGTTTCTTTAAAAAATTAAAAATAGAACTACCCTATGATCCAGCAATCCCTATCTTGGGCATATATCCAGAGGAAACTATAATTTTGTGCCCCAGTGTTCATTGCAGCACTATTTACAAAAGCCAGGATGTGGAAGCAACCTAAATATCCATTAACAGAGGAAACAAAAAAGAAGATGTGGTAATATATACAATAGACGATTACTCAGCCATTAAAAAGAATCAAATAATGCCATTTGCAGCAACATGGATGGACCTGAAGATTATCATACTAAGTGAAATAAGTCAGGCAGAGAAAGACAAATATCATATAGTATCACTTCCACACAGAATCTAAAAAAATAATACAAATGCACTTTTTTATAAACCTGAAACAGACTCACAACCTTAGAAAACAAACTTAGGGTTACCAAAGGGGAAAGGTGGAGGGGGGGATAAATTCGGAATTGACATATACACACAACTATATTTAAAATAGATAACCAACAAGGACATACTGTATATCATGGGGAACTGTACACTATATTCTATTATAATCTAAATGGGAAAAGGCTTTGAAAAAGAATATATATATATATGTGTGTGTGTGTGTGTGTGCATATATAACCAAAGTACATTGCTTACACTTGAAACTAACAAAACATTGTAAATCAACTATACTTAATGAAAATTTAAAAAGGAAGCCACATAATTAAAATATATTCCATATAAGCTTCCGTAGATAAATTAGAGAATATGTATGTGAAATTTATTTGCTCAGTGAGGAGTCCAGTTAGATCCTGGGGAAAGAAATCTGGGACTTTACTTGATGGCAGAGGAAGTCAATCTCAGATGCATGAGGCTGAGGTTAGTAGCAGGTACTAAAATGAAAAGATCTGGCGGTTTCAACTGACCTTAAATTCAGTACATAGCAGTGGTGTGAAGCGGTTCCTCAGGAAGTTAATGTAGTATCAGTGACATTAAAGAAATGTAGTCCTTGCTGTATTTGGCGGACCTTGAGAAATGTGGTCTGTTATGAGCATTATGCTTTAGGGATGAGAGTGACAACCTGGGAAGAATCAGGGAGGAAGACTCTAGGATGATTACACAAGTTGGATTCAATTCAGATGAAGCCCAGTTTAAGGACCTGCAATATAATTGGGTGTGGGAGAGACCTGACTACAAGAATGTGTAGGGCAGCCATGGAGAAAAGCAATCACAAAGAGCTCATAAAACCCCACGAGGACAAATCTAAAACCAGCAAGTGGAAGTTACAGCTTAGAGGTCAAACATTCTCCAAACCCAAAGGACAATCCACTATCAGAATGGCTTCTCTGTGGAACAAGAAGCCTGGAAGAAAAGTTCAAAAAGTGGAGGTGGAGCGGCATTAGTCAGGGGCACGGGGGAGGGAGGGTGGCCTGGTTTGAGAGGGCCCACAAGGCTCCTTCAGCCCAGTTCCTCTTTTCCTGCCACTAGTGAGCCTTCTTTGGGGATGCTTAGCTCGCTTGAGCAAAGGTTTAATAAATTATCCATGGGTAAGCTGTCACAGTTAGAGGTTACCCAGCATTCATCTGCTCCCAAATTACAAACCTTACTGAAGTTAAGATGTATCTTCTCCCTTGTTAAACCTAACCTCTGAGGACTCTCACCCTTATCTCAGAGCCAAATTTTAGCCATGACAGTTTTGCCCTTTCATTGGCTCTCAAATTGATTTATAGGCACAAACCAGGAGTCTTCTCAAATGTGTAAAGTAAGCTTGCAGGATTGCCGTTTTCCTTCTGGGTCAGCACTTCCACTCCAGGGTCTCCAGGCTCCCTCTCCCCGCCTGTATCCCACCACATCCCTTACTCTACTCTCTCGTCTCATGCCACACTGCTGAAGAGAGAATTCTTATAACCAGCTCAAGGAAGGTCTTTTTTAGACTTTTGTAGGTATCTTAACGGCCTATGTTTGTTTGTTCTGCCTGCCCTGTGGCGGGTCCTGGGGTGAGAGTATGGCCAGGAATCTGAGAAGGGAGTTGGGAGACTGGGCCTCCTACCTTGACAGGTGAAGCATCTGATGTGGAAGTGGTTATTGTGGACGCGAACCACCTCCCCTTTGCAGGTGTCTCCGCATCGGTAGCACTGGATGACATTGGCGCTGCCCCGGGGACTGTAAGGATTCTGCTGATATGGAACTGTAGAAAGAAACAAAGAGATCACCATCCAGAAGGCTCTTTTTCTTTAAAAAGTCTGCCATAACACACATTTATAATATTAACTGGCAGAAAAAGCAGAAAGGGTGAGCGTGATTAGCAAAGTACCTTTAATACATCATGAGGCTGAGTATGCCAAGCTAAGACATCTTTAAAAGGTGAGTGGCATTAAGACAAGAGTTTATAAATCTACTTAAGCAGGCAAAGACTTCTGAGTGAACATAACCTTTTCTTGCAATAATAGAGCCCAAATTCACAAATGAAAAATAAAAGCAGAAGTAGAGTATTGCAAGATAAATGATCCTGAAATACCGTTTCTTGGGAGATCTCTGGATCAATACCAGGCCCCAAAAGGAATTTAGGTCTTGCCATTGACTCGTGGGTCTTGAGGAAAGGGGTGGCTGACTGCCTCCAACTGGCCTTTCTGTTGAACAAGTTCCAGCTCCTCTCTGCCTCTCAGTTTACACATCTATGAAATGAGGACGCTCAACAGCAGCTGACTTTCTGATAAAAAAAGCACTCAAGTTGGAAGGATGTTGATGACGTGACTTACCTTACAACTGCCTTTGAATAGCACTTTCCATAACATTGAGAACATTGTCAAATGTGTGTAGTTGGGGGAAAGAGCTGGTGGAGACTATAAAGGGGCTGAAGTCACTGGGATGGCAGTGCTATGGTCAGCATTTGACGATACTGTAGACCTACACTTGCCTTTTGAGGCTACTGATCTCTTGCTTAGACTTTCTCATAGCTTCTTTTCTAGATTTTCTTTCCCTGGAATATACTTTGCATGACCATTCTATAAACTGGTCATCTAGTATTTAATAATAGTAGGCGCCTGTCTAGAACATAAGTTTCAGGGTCAGAAGGGATATTAATAGTTGTCTGGTCCAACCTCTTTATATATAAACTGTTGAGACAACTTTGGCAGTGAGGAACCCAATCTTCTCTTTTGGAGGAAGCCCTTAGGGGTTCTGGGGAGAGAATCACTCAATTCCTCAATTCTTACTCAAGGCTGAAGTAATTGTCCACAAATTTATGCTCATATCCTATTAGGAGAAGGCCCACTCTTGTCCTAATTATAAGGACGACCACTTGATTGGAGGGAACTGGTGTCCATCATTTAGACATGCAGACTTGCTGGCTAAACTCTGAATAAGCATAAGTTAAAACTGTACTCAAAGAAAATCTGAACTGCCAAGGAACCTAAAGAACACCTAGATCAAGGGTTCTTGACTTAGTGTGGTAACTGTTATGTCTGTTTATTGAAATTTGAGTCTTTTATTCTTGGCACATGGAGGACTACACAGTGTCTTGCTTGACAATGAAATGTGAATGAAAATTGTGTGTCACTTCCAACTGGAAGCCCTAGGAGACAGTATGGGATCTTCCATATTGCCTTTTCCATAGGCCAGCAACCAGCGATATCCCAGATGGTGTGCAGGATGCAGCAGCTTGGATTCCTGATGGAGAAGTCCAGAGCAGAGCTCTAAGCTGACCCATGATGAATGTCGATCATGAGCAAGGAGGAATTTTTGTTGTCATAGCCTCTCAGGCTATTTTTAACTGCAGCATACCCTGATACACCTGATATCTAATATTTCTAGTGAAACATAAAATTTGGTGTTATACACATTATACTATAGTTTTCTTCAGATTCTCAAAGATGATCTACACAACTGATCTCATGTTCCTTACACCTTTTGAAGAAAAGGAACAGAAATGCTGGACTTTCAATTACCTCCCACATCTTGAACCATAAGTGCACTGAAGGGCAAAAAGCTGGTGGCTTATCCCTGAAACCGCTAATACTGACAACTTTTATCTGAGGTGGGAGAATAATATCTTTCCTGCAGTCTTTTTCTCAAGAAGTTCATGTCCTTTATTTAACGTTTCTTTTCCTGTCTTAAATTTAAGACAAAAGTTAAATGAGTTAGCTAGTTAACTAAATCATTAACTCACTCAGAAAATGAGTTAATACATGTAAAGCATTTCAAAAGTTCATGAAGTATTCCACAAATATATTTCAGGGCTCCACTGGTATCTTGACCATCACATCCTCCCCAGAGCTCAGAGCAATCCTTCCCCACTCCCACAAGGTCCACAAACATTCTCCTTGGTCTTATTTTTTTAATTTTTTTGCTTGTTTTTCTAATTCCTGCTCAGTGTCCCCTGAAAAATATTTCATTCTCCAATCTCCCCCAAATTTGTGAGAAAAATATAGATTCTGTTTATATGAGCAATGTAATGATCTACTATTGCTGAGGGAAATAAAACTGTGAGTCTGAAAATAAAATAAGAAAAAAATAGTATAATCACCACCATCAGTGATGAGAGTTCTTGAAAGAATCCAAAAGTCCCTCCAGAATCGCTATACAAATTTCATCTACCTCTTCTTTGTTTAAATTTTTTATCTATTTTTTTTCATAGTCAACAAAAGAGTCCAAAATGTAGTACTTGGGTGCAATCTCAAAAATGACACAATGATCTAGGTTTGTTTCCAAGGCAAACCATTCAATGTTACAGTAATCCAAATCTATGCCCCAGTCACTAATGCTGGAGAAGATGAACTTGAACGGTTCTATGAAGACCTACAAGACCTTCTAGAAATAACTCCAAAAAAGATGTCCTTTTCATCATTAGTTCAGTTCAGTTGCTCAGTCGTGTCTGACTCTTTGTGACCCCATGGATTGAAGCATGCCAGGCTTCCCTGTCCTTCACCAACTCCTGGAGGCTACCCAAACTCATGTCCATCGAGTTGGTGATGCCATCCAACCATTTCATCCTCTGTCGTCCCGTTCTCCTCCTGTCTTCAAACTTTCCCAGCATCAGGGTCTTTTCAATGAGTTGGTTCTTCACATCAGGTGGCCAAAGTATTGGAGTTTTGGCTTCAGCATCAGTCCTTCCAATGAATACTCAGGACTGATTTCCTTTAGGATGGACTGGTTGGATCTCCTTGCTTTCCAAGGGACTCTTAAGAGTCTTCTCCAACATCACAGTTCAAAAGCATCAATTCTTCAGGGCTCAGCTTTCTTTATAATCCAACTCTCATATCCATACATGACTACTGGAAAAACCAAAGCTTTGACTAGATGGATCTTTGTTGGCAAAGTAGTATCTCTGTTTTTTAATAGGCTGTCTAGGTTAGTCATAGCTTTTCTTCCAAGGAGCAAGCATCTTTTAATTTCATGGCTGCAGTCACCATGTGCAGTGATTTTGGAGCCTCCCAAAATCACTCTCTCACTATTTCCATTGTTTCCCCATCTGTTTGCCATGAAGTGATGGGACTGAATGCCATGATCTTTTCATCATAGGGGACTGGAATGAAAAAGTAGGTAGTTCAGAGTTAAGCTGGAGTAATAGGCAAGTTTGACCTTGGAGTACAAAATGAAGCAGGGCAAAGGCTAACAGAGTTTTGCAAAGAGAACACACCAGTTATAGCAAACACCCTCTTCCAACAACACAAGAGACGACTCTACATATGGACATCGCCAGATGGTCAAAACCAAAATCAGATTGATTATATTCTTTGTAACAGAAGATAGAGAAGCTCTATACAGTCAGCAAAAACAAGACTGGAAGCTGACTGTGACTCAAATCATGAGCTCCTTATTGCAAAACTCAGACTTAAATTAAGGAAAGTAGAGAAAACCACCAGGCCATTCAGGTATGAGCTAAATCAAATCCCTTCTGATTATACAGTGGAAGTGACAAATAGATTCAAGGGATTAGATCTGATAGAGTGCCTGAAGAACTATGAATGGAGGTTAGTGACATTGTACAGGAGGCCATGATCAAAAACAGCCCCCAAGAAAAAGAAATGCAAAAAGGCAAAATGGTTGTCTGAGGAAGACTTACAAATAGCTGAGTAAAGAAGTGAAAGGCAAAGGAGAAAACAAAGGATATACACATCTCAATGCAGAGTTCCAAAGAATAGCAAGCAGAGATAAGAAAATCTTCTTAAGAGAGCAATGGAAAGAAACAGAGGAAAACAATAGAAAGGGAAAGACTAGAGATCTCATCAAGAAAATCAGAGATATCAAGGGAACATTTCATGGAAAGATGGGCACAATAAAGGACAGAAACGGTATGGACCTAACAGAAGCAGAAGATATTAAGAGGTGGTAAGAATACCAAGAGAACTGCACAAAAAAGTTCTTAATGACTCAGATAACCACAATGGTGTGATCACTCACCTAGAGCCAGACATCCTGGAGTGTGAAGTCATGTGAGCCTTAGGAAGCATCACTATGAATAAAACTAGTGGAGGTGATGGAATACCAGCTAAGCTATTTCAAATCCTAAAAGATGACGCTATTGAAGTGCTACACTCAATATGCCAGCAAATTTGGAAAATTCAGCAGTGGCCACAGGACTGGAAAAGGTCAGTTTTCATTTCAATCCCAAAGAAGGGCAATGCCAAAGAATGTTCAGACTACCACACAATCCTGCGCATTCCACATGATAGCAAGGTAATGCTCAATATCCTTCAAGCTAGGCTTCAACAGTATGTGAACTGAGAATTTCCAGATGCACTAGGTGGATTTAGAAAAGGCAGAGGAAACAGAAATCAAATTGTAAACATCTGTTGGATCATAGAAAAAGCAAGGGAATTCCAGAAAAACATCTACTTCTGCTCCATTGACTATGCTAAAGCCTTTCTGTGGATCACAACAAACTGTGGAAAATTCTTCAAGAGATGGGAATACCACTTTACCTGCCTCCTGAGAAACCTGTATGTATGTCAGGAAGCAACACTTAGAACTGGACGTGGAACAATGGACTTGTTCAAGGTTGGGAAAGGAGTATGTCAAGGCTGCATAGTGTCATCCTGCTTATTTAACTCGTATGCAGAGACATCATGAGAAATGCCGGGCTGGATGAAGCACAAGCTGGAATCAAGATTTCGAGAGAAATATCAATAACCTCAGATATGCAGATGACACCACCCTTATGGCAGAAAGTGAAGAGGAACTAAAGAG